GCGCGAAGCGCGGAATTTTTGGCGTTTTATCACAATATAGAGAAAGGAAGACGATTCCTCGTACCGTTTTCGAATCTCATTAAGCCCTATTCATCTGAATTCAGTTGACCCCTCTCGCGCGAAGCGCGAAAGCTTTGATGTTTCCTCAAATTATTAGAGAAAGAACACGATTCGTTGTAACGTTTTCGACTTTTAGTAAGACCTATTTGTCTGAATTCAGTTTCCCACTTTCGGGCGAAGCGCGGAAGCTTTGACGTTTCCTAAATTATTAGAGAAAGAAGACGATTCGTTGTACCGTTCTCGATTCGTCTAAATGAAGTTTCCCCTTCCGCGCGAAGCGCGGAATTTTTGGCGTTTCATCACAATATAAAGAAAGGAAAATGATTCGTCGTACCGTTGTTGACTCTTAAACCTTGTTTGAATTTAGTTTCCCCGAAAATTTTAAACCTCTGATTTCTTTAGCTGATATTATAGGAAAGTGAAACTTCGAGAAAATACAAGTATTGTAGTTGTAGTCACTCTCGAAGTCGTCACAGCGGATAAGAAGTCGCAGTTCGTAAGGAAAAAAACTTGTCGGCCGACCGACAATAAACATCTCACCGACTTCAAACTTATGCATTGATGAGGATCGAGCAAGAATACCGACACAGCTGACCCGACACAGCAACATATTTACCCGTGTCTTTCTTGCTCCCTCGACGAGACGACTCCACCCAACAACCCCCTTTTCTCTTTTACTCCCACTCCTCCTCTCTCAGACTCTTACCTCCCTCTCTCTCCTCTCTTTCATCCCCCGTTTCTTTTGTTTCCCTGTCACTCTTTTTCTTCTTTTTTTCCTTTTCTTTCTTTTCTTTCTTTTCCTTTCTTTCCTCTCCCCCCTCTTTTTCTTTTTTCTCTTTCTTTCTTTCTTCTCTTTTCTTTCCTCTCTTTTCCTTTCTTTCCTTTCTTTTCCTTTCTTTCTTTCCTTTTCCTTTTCTTTTTTTCTTTTCTTTCCCTTCCTCTCTTTTTTTCCCTCTCTTTTTTCCCTCTCTTTTTTTCCCTCCCCCTTTTCTCTTTTTCCCGACGGCAGCGCAATTTTACCGACAATATCCTGACAGGTGGGGGGGGGTGTCGCACCCCACACCCCCCCCCCTTTGGCGACGCCCCTGGTAATGAGTAGAGCAAGTGAACGAAAATTTGTATAATTTCATCCTTTTTTTAACTGCAAAAATACAACAAAAAAAACAAGCATTAGCAAACTTAAAGTTATCGAAGATTGTAAATCATGGATTAAATAACGGGACATTAAAACATGCACAAATTAGCGCATGCATTATCCTAAAATATTTTGTTTTTGTCAGGATCTAATTTACCAACTCTGGCACAAAAATTATAGGAAGGGCGGAGTACCAAATTTGAGAAACAAACTAATGCACTATTCCAAATACAATCCCCACATAAATTTTATAATGGACACTAAAATTTTGCTGGTAATTTAACATTTTGTAATAAATGTGAAACTGGTGCCTGGCCTCCGAAATTCCCCGCAGTAGAAGCCCGGCTCGGGGCATGGTACTTCTTTGAAAGTAGACTAGATCTAGATTCTAGTCTAAGCAAGATATTTTTACAATTTTGGGGCTGGGCCGTCCCTGTGGGGAATATGGAGAAAAACTTGCGCTTTCATATGACACCTCACTTATTGAGTATCACCTTCAGGATCACGAGCAATATTAGTTTGAATCTCTGGTAATTAAAACATCGACCAATTTAGCATGAGTGCACAATGGCCAATGCATAAGGATATGTGCAATCTCTACGAGAAGGATTTTAGCACTACTAGACCTACTTACTAGAATCTAGGCCTACTAGATCTATTTTGAAGAAAAAAATAATGGAGAATTTAATGTACCCTTTTGGGTGTTCTTACTGTCAGCAAGTCTTGCATTTGATCTTCATCAAGAAGTTGAAATCTTGGGAGAGTTTCTTCAGCCATTTTTGCCTTCGGTTGCCGTCCTGAAATTATCGACCAATTCTTCGCACACGTACGGTATCCTCGATCGCTCAAACCAGTTTTAACATGTGAACCTACGGGTATTTCACCAAGACTGAATTATTTTCCCGGTAACCATGGTAACTAGAATTTTACCGGGAATTTTACAGGAATAGTTAAAGTTTATGACTGCAATTTCGACCAATCAGATGGCTGGATTTTTTAAGTGAGGTATATAAAGACTATTAATAATTAATTCAGGCATCCCGCTCCCCGAATAGGTTATACAGGTACATCCGGAATTTCCAGGGGCTTGTGCTTCTCAGGGCTCCGGGCTCCGCGGTTATAGTAATACAAAATAATAGGCATTTAATAGCTTCGTCTATCTAGTCAATTCTATTCCGAGCAAGAAAAATAAAAAGAATGAGAGAGTTTGGATGAGTGTCATAGTGCCAAGTACAAGTATTGTTAAAAAAAAGATAAGATTTAAGCTTGGATTTAAAGGTCTCTAGGGAAGTTATGATTCTCAAATTAAATGGTAAATGGTAAATAAGTTTCCTTTCACCGAAGGCTACTCGCGTCTTGGAGATGAGATGCTGGTGTGATTATCTTAGACTACGAGCTGCAGTGTATAAGGCATAAGGTTTTGTAAATAATTTCAAATTAGTGACAATCCATTTACAGCTTTCCATATGAGGAGAAAGATTGAATTCTATGCGCTTGCGGATTGGCAACCAGTGCAGCTTTCTGAGAACATGAGAAATGCGATCATATTTAGATGTCCCTGATAAAACCCTGGTTCGTAATCCATGGCAGTTTCCCAACCAAATTCAGCCCCTTTGTATATTTTCATATAACGCCACTCGAAAACACAAAATATACCGGCCAAGCATAGTCAAGCAAGATAGCGCTAGCCCTGCCATCATAAAACATAAGCTGGTAAAACGGAATCAAAGACTACAAGCAAGAGATGTTTGAACCTCCTCGCTCTTAGTGGCCCTAATTCACAAAGGAGGTTTCGACGTGTTTTTACAAACCAGGTTTGTAAAAAAAAAAACACGTTGACGTTCATAAACCTAGGTTTGTAGACAAACCTCCTTTGTGAATTTGGGCTGATGGGTTCGTTTTACAAAATGACTCAAATCAGTCTTAAGTGGCCGCCGCTCTAGAAAGACTACTTGACGCCTATCAGCGCCATGTCCCTGGAGCAAAGTGTTAGAACCTGTTTATAAAAGCCGCATGTCCACAGCGGCCAGTTTTTCTGTTTCCCTTAGAGAAAACCTAAAAGACATATTTGACTGTATGTAAATCATCCTATGAAACTGTTTTACATCATTTTTATGACACTAATAATTCTCTATTTCATCAATCACAAAGTCCATGCCTCGAACCTATATTGTACCATATACTATGACATCAGGGCGCCCTTGAATGACGTCACTTCGTCGATCATGAAGGCTTACAAGCATTAGATGTTATACTAGACTTCTTTCTATTTGAGGCTTAATCGTCTCTTATAAGCATCAAGGATGTGGTCCTTTATGAATAATACGATTACACAATACCCGTAATCTTGGAAAACTGCCACCTTAATTACCACTCTTTCAATACTCGGTTATTGTGAGTAATCAAGTCATTGTTTAATCCATTTTAATCTACATGGGAACCGTTTAAGGCGATCATATTGGTATCGCAAAGCGCTCAGAGCAACAAAAGAATATTGATTTTGTGAGAATGCTTTGAAAGGAGGAGACAGTACGTAAGGAAAAGCCAGATCCCGTCACTGTACACGTAATAATTATGTCTGAAGGATGAAATGCCTTATTCGGAACTTTGACATTGTTTGGTTTGACCCGAGTTTAATCAAGTTAATACTTTCAAAGCCATTTACAATCTAGAAGCGGGGCAGAAGCGTATAGCGAATTTGTTATGTGTTACATAAAAACAAAATGTTTATAATAATTTTTTCCATCATTTAGTGTTATCAACATAAGCATAATCATTTCAATTTAGGTTTATCATAATTATCATTATTTTTACTACTTCAAATGTTATTATTATTACAATTATTATGATTAATAATTTAAGAAAATCACCATCGAACATGAATATAAACAAGGAAAAAAGAGAAGTACACTTCTCGCAGCAGCAGCAAAAATCTATTTCTACATGTATAAATAAATTATGAGGGCAGTAGAAAAGAAAGCGAACAAGAACATCCAGAACATATTAGGCCAAATTAAAAAAAAACATGTTTAGCGTCCTGCCTTTTAAAGAAAATAAGAAATGAGGAGGCTTTTTTTTTCTTTCTTAAAATGGCCGCTCAAAATGGCCACTCGATACATTTTCCCTGACAGTGGGGCTATTTTTTCAAGATGGCCGTCGGCATTTTTTAATATTTTGTATTAAATCAGAAATAGATTTTCTTTTGCTAAAAATTATTTAAAAATGGAGAAAAAATGGAAGTGGTCGGGGACGCTAAACATGTATATTTGTTTTAATGGCTTTAATATAAAAAAGTTAACATTATTATAATTACTAATAAAATCATTATGTTGATATTATGTTTATCATTCTTTTGCGAATTTAACGGGATTAATTCTGTATTTATCGAAAGACTTTCATTTAATCCTCATCACCAGATGTTGCATATTTTCAAATTTATACCCTGAATATTCAAGTGTGTTCCTGATCATTCTGGTTGTTCCCAGAAGCTACCTTCTGAAGATCGTCATGGTCGTAGTTCCTAAGATAACATTTTGGGAAGAAAGTTGTTAGTGAAAGTATAATTATAATTATTGGCCATTCCTTTTTATCTGATGTTTGAACTTAGCTAATTTGTACAAGTCAAGCTAAAGTTAGCAATGTGTATAAATAAACACCAAACAACAAGAACAACAAGAAAACTTCAATCTTATAACTTTGATATTTCACACTGCACTTGCGCTATGGAGCATGGCATAAAAAACTAGAGTGCCGTGTGCAAACGACATATGACCACCCTATCACGCAATTTCTTCCTTATATAGACTCAGAGACTTCTTCAAGTTGCGAGGTTTATACACAGCAGTCTTTAAAAGGTAAAGAAAACTTTGAAAACGAGACCAAAGCAGACAACCCCTTAGCCAAAGCATATGGTCCGTGCTACCGGTTACAATTTCAACTCATCAGGAAGCGTTTGCAGTCTTTAGTTGAGAAAAGAGCTTGTTTGCTGGACTTTCTAACTACCAAGATCTTCGTTAGAGAAGGCAAAATGTCTTCACGGTTGATCTTGCTAGCTCTCTGGAGTTTTTGTATGGTGACCTGTTGCCTTGCACAGAACAGCACAGTCGAAACAGAAGAAGAAGCCATGGTACGTAATTTGCAATTCTGTCAATCTATTCAGGGACGGGGTAAGAGGACACTTTTTTTGTATTTGGTCACATCGCAAAGACTCAGCCAGCCGCTGAATGAGCGGGGGGGGGGGGGGGTTAGAGGACACTTCTTTCTTTTTTTGGTCACAGAAAAATCGCAACGACTCAGCCAGCCGCTGAATTATGGGGGGGGGGGGGGTAAAAGGACACTAACATTTTTTTGTTGAGGACAAAACCAAAAAAAATGGGGGGGGGGGGAAGCAGAAAAAGAAATACACTAAAACGAAGAGAAGTAACGAGTCAATAAATAGCAGAGTATGCACCTTATTCCACCACATGTTTGCAACACTTGAACGTTTACAAAAACTGAACACTAGAAGTCATAAATTATTCATTCCTTTCCTGTTAAAATTCTCTTATGTCACTCAGGCAAAAGAACGCCTAAAATTTCAAATGAATTGTAAAATGGTACACGCTATAAGAAAAAAGGACATTATACATGACATGTCTAATCATCATTATTATTGTATGCATTCAACATATGTAACTTGAGTTTATATTTAAATTGATGAATAGAAGAAGGGTGAAGTAAATCAGGATGAAGATTGTTCCAGAAATATGGACCAGTATACACTATTGTTTTTAAGAAAATGTCGTGCGTAACGGGGGATGTGAAAATCATTCCTTTTCCTGGTAGGGTATGAATGAATATCCAATTTCTTAGTGAAAAGAGAAGCAACAGAATCACGCAATTCATTTGTTGTAAGTTGATACATGAAAATACCCAAATTATAGAGAAATATATATTGTTGAAAAATAAGATGTTTGAATGTGACCGGAAACCAACATTGTGAATTATTCTCAGGGCTCTTTTTTTGAATGACCAATAAACTATCCAGTTGAGTCTTGGAGTAGTTGCCCCAAGCTAGAATACCGTAATTTAAATAAGGGAAAATTAAAGTGTCAGTTAAGTCTGTTGATGACGCCAGTCTTTCGTGATAAAAGTTTACACAAATTTCCAACGTGCATTTTCCAATTAAGTTTACAGTCTATAACAAGACCAGGAAATTGTGTGTGTTCAACAAATAACATGTTTGTGTCATTAATGGAAATGTTACCAGGTAGTGATGTTATGGAGTTACTGGAAAGCATATAGTTCGTTTTAGTAACATTAAGAGATAACTTATTGGCATTAATCCATTCCAAAACAGATAGTAATTCATTGTTTACAACGTCAGCAATAATATTGGGATTTGGATGAGTAAAGAAAATATTGGAATCATCGGCAAAAAGTATGAATGACAAAATGGGGGAAGAAGTTTGGAAATCATTAATGTAATGTAGAAACAAGAGCGGACCAAGGAGAGATCCTTGCGGGACACCACAAGTTATTTGTCGTAGACATGAGTCATGATCATTTAAATTAACATATTGCATTCTGTCTGTGAGGTAATTCCTGAACCACTCCAAGGCTTTCACTCTGATCACATAATGGGATAATTTATATAAAAGAATGTCACGGTGAACTGTGTCGAAGACCTTGGAGAAGTCCAGGAAAATACCAATAGTATGGGACATATTATCAATAGCACATGCAATCTTATTAATGAACATGAGTAATGCATGAAAAATCTCAAATTGGTAGTCCGGCCAGTAGATTGTGACGTACAGTGTAGGACGTGTTTTTAGTCGTTTTTTACGTTGGAACAGATGGGAAAGTACTTTTACTTTGATGTTGAGGCAGAAAGAAAAACCCAAAAGGATTGTCGTATTTACTTTGAAAAATACTTTGGGAATACGCATAAAAGGATGGCTGATATCTTACGAGCTTAATCTCGCAGCTTACGTCAGTCGCAAAGTACCTTTTTATTTTGTAGTGAGTTGTCTTGTGACGCAGCGGATTTCCAACTAAGAATTGGGATTTACTAAGTCACAAAAGGGCTTTCTTTCATCTTTTAAATTGCGAATGAAAGGAGGGCGTTCACGTTTTATAATAGCTTAATCAACCTCGAAAAGTACAAGGAAGTGATCGCTCGCATGATGGAACACTAGGACAAAACAGAGAAGGGGGTAAAATACCGAAGTTTGATAAATCTGGCGACGACAGCAAGAATAGATTACATGGCAACTGAAATAAACATCCACAGAAAAAGAGGGTATAACATAAACAGGATTCAACTTTAGTTTACTCCTTTGGAGTGTACTAGAGTCATAATCACATTTACTGCGTTGAATACGCCCCATTTTAAAAGTTCACATCCCATTTGTAGATTAAAGGTAGATCCTGGGTTGTAAACAAAAAAGGTGGAACCATTTTTGACGAAAGCAGCAAACTACAATCAAACTAATGATATTATTATAAAAATATACATAAAAGAAATATAATAAAACCAAGAACTAAGCAAATAAAATGAACGATCGATAGACATATTGGCATTTGAATTGAATTTATTGATTCATCTTTCATACAATAGATATTCATTTTCCATTTGTTGAACAATTACAAAAATCATGTAAAACTAGAATTAGGCATAAAAATGATACGTTAAGAAGTGTACAATGACAAAATATACATAGTGTGATCACACAAAAAAGGAAGTAAAAACAAAAGTGGTTTCAAGGAAGTTACAAAAAACAATTTGTGTCAAATATAGTACAGGAAAAAGGAAATCCACCTTATTTACTCATTTATTGCCCTCCTATAATGTTTGGATAAACGGAATTAATGTTTTATTCAGATCGCCCCCCCCCCCCTGCCCACACATATCACCTCACCGTATATGACAGTTACATACAAACAACATCGTCATATATGTGGTAACCAAATAGACGTCTATACATGATGTTTTATTGTACGTGAGATGGAAGGCACATGATAACTATGAATTTGAAAAATTTGAAATTACCTAAAAGTCTTATAATTTATGTGCCAGTCTTTCATTTTTAACAAAAATTATTCCTCATAATCCAATGACCAAAATCTGTATGTCAAGAATAAACGTATTTATAGGCCCATATGCACGAGTGCCTGGATTTCTTTAAAAGCGCGTCTAAACATTACAATGTTTCTTCTGTTTACCAGACCCCTTCAATAATACAGTGAACCCTGATCTAGTGGCCACCTGCATAAAAAGCCATTTTTATTTTTCTCTAGAAGATCGTTTCTCGTTAAAACCTATACTAAAGGAACCTGTACTCAAAAACCGCCTGCCCTTGAAGTTAACTTTTCTTGTCTCCCATATTTATATTTAACTTATGTTTTTATGGTGACGTAGAGGGTGCTTAGGACAAGGCATTTTTCTTTTGTATTAATAAGTAATCTTTCTTAAAGGGCCACTCTAACCAAAACGGGCTAAAAAATTAAAAAGGACATGACTTTGTACGATAATTTTTGACGGAGATTCCGAACATGAAAATGATTTCTCTTAAAAATCATCAATTATTCTGGAATCTAGCTTTAAAAATGACGACCCAGAACGCTCAGAAAAATAACCCGTTTCGGAGCTGTATTGCACAGCTGTTTATGACGTCACTGCAGGCGCCTCTCCAGTGAAAAGGAGGGTGATTAAGGCATTAACATTTCTTTAAAAAGCCAAATTATGATCATATTAGTTGGAACAAAAAAGACATTTATCCGAAAAAATAATATGCACTTGATAATCCCAGTACTTTTTTGGCAATTTTGTCATTTCTAAAGTAAGATCCTTAGTTGTAGGTCGAATCGGACATGCCCGCAATGACATCAAATGCGTCATCAATGTAACGTGACCGTATTACCTTTTTTCGAGAAGCGTGAGAAGTGTGAAAAATGGATGGTTATTATCATTTTTTGGTCAATTTAGTGATTTTCTAAAAAATCAGAGGCTGGAATATTAAAAAGTAGAGGTGTATTTATGTTTTGAAAGGCTATGTTAGTTGGGTAAGAGTGGCCCTTTAATGGTCATTCCTTTCTAATAAATGGCAAATCTATAGGACTTTTAAACATGAACTTGTAATAATATAAATGGGGAATTCGGAACAGTCCAAACACTACTGGCTATCGCCTTGTGATCATTAGTATAGTTATACTAACTCAGGCATACGTGACTGCTCGGGGAACGGAGGGAATGGGACTGGAAGGGGGAGAGGGGCGGGGGAGAGGGGGGGGGGGAAGAGTGTAAATCGAATTTTAAGCGACAACCTTTAATTTGTGAACTTCATTTTTTGAGGATGGGGGCGTTTGGGGGATTCTTCCACGGGATATGAATATATAACATTGATCTTCTTCGTCATTTATATAAAATGCTAACTATCTGACTATTGTCATTTTTTCTGTTCCTCCATGAAAGGTAAGATCTCCTGTAAAAAAAAATATATTACGTGAAATGTAATTCATTATTATCTGTGTATTATTTCCTGGAGAGGCCTGTGGTACTATTTAAATTTGGGATTTCCACCGTTTATTGTAATTTTGACATTTACACTCTTTTATCTTTGTTACACTATTTTTTAAAATTTTTTTTTTGTCAAACAAAATTGGAGATATGATCATACAGGCTATACATTTTTGGAATATATTTAATAAACGTGAATTCAAATTTGAATTATTGTTTAAATATCTTTATTCATCTTCTGGTTTAATCTTCTTGTTTCACCTTTGTTGATCTACAGGCGTATCTCAATAAGTATGGATATCTGGACATGACAGGTGGCATGCCGAATACTGAAGAGAGGAGGAGAGCCCTCGAGTATTTCCAAAGATTTGCAAATATAACAATGACAGGTATGTGCAAAGTAATTCTTCTGCAATTCTAATCTCGCCCCCCCCCCCCCCCCCCCCAAAAAAAAAAATAAATAAATAAATAAATAAATAAAATAAATAAATAAATAAATACAAAAAATAAAAAATAATAATATTAATAATAATAATAATTTAGTTGTCCTCGACCGCCCGCTCGTCATTTTCGGGCCGCTCGTATATTATTTTGGTGTTTTTGTTGTTGTTGTTTTAATTCATTTTTTTTCTTCGGAGGGAGGAATCTTAAGCGCCAAATATACCGTTTTATGCATTTTCAAGGATCAAAATCCGTCCCGTTGCCAGTTTGGTCCTTTCAGTACGCGATTATGTATTTATTAAACTTGCCATTATTTTTGTTCTATGTCAAAATGCCGTTCATTGAAATCAAGTCCTGAGCATTCTTTAACTCATTTTAAGCCCACCTGTACTAGTTTACAGGAGGGATTAGACCAGCCTGCAAGGTCAATGGACAGGTAGTTATCTCATCAAATCAGCTCTCAGTTAACATAAGATAAAGAGGATCATGGGGGACCAATGGTCACCGATTAGGCATTGTTTGCTATATAGAGGGCGCAAGTAGTTATAAGTGGTACAGTGGGGATTTAAAAGGTACTGTATTTCAAAGCTTGATATTCATCTTAAATTAAACTAGTCTTTTACCATATTCAAGTGTTTGATTGACTTTGTCTGTTTAAATGCTTGACATCCCAATGATTTTTTTTTTATGGAAAAAAAAAAATATATATATATATATATTTTTTTTTTTTTAAATAGGGGGGGGGGGAGAAAGAAAAAAAAAAGAAAGAGAAAAAAAAATCCGCCCGCCCAACCCAACTCGAGAAGGCAATCAAAGACAACCTAATGATTTTTTTTTTGTTGGCCTAACGGAGGGGGAGGAGCTTCCATGATAGCCCTCACGGAGCCCACACCGCTACGTGATTTTTGTAGCATAAATTCAGTATTCACACCCTGAACTGACACCCTCGTTGAATTACAGTTCAAAACTCATTCTTTTCAGGGAGCACAGCGAGAAACATTTTCATTTCACAGAATTGAAATTCGCCTAGTGCCATCAGGCGCGGATCCAGGGGGCCGAGCAGGCCTTGCCCCCCCCCCCCAATCAAAAAAGAGAGAGAGAGAGAGAGAGAGAGAAGAAAAAGAAGGGAAAGAGGAGAGAAAGGGAAAGAAAGAAGAGGAAGAAGAAAAGAAAAGGGGAAGGATAATCGGGGGGGGGGGTCAAAAGGGCCTTGCCTCCCAGCTGTTAAAGGAAAAGAGGAGATAAATGGAATTAAAAAAGAGGTAGGAAAAAAGAAAAGAAGAGGGATATCAGTTGCATTTTTGCCGCCGAACAGGTTGTAGTTCGGGCGGGTCAAAAGGCCCTTGCCTCTCCTAAACCCCCCCCCCCCCCAAAAAAAAAAAAAAAAAAAAAAAAAGGGGGGAGGAAGGGAAAGGGAAGGAGGAGAGCTAAAGAGGAACAAAAAAGAGGAAACAGAAAAGAAAAGGGTAAAAAAGGGGGAGAGCATTTGCGATTAATCCCGCCAACAACGTGTGGATCGGGGAAGGGGGCGAAAGGCCCTTGCCTCCCCCAGCAAACCTAAAACAGAGAGAAGAAAGGTAAAGGAAAGGAAAAGATGAGAAAAAGGGAAAGAAAAAAAGAAAGAAGAAAGGTATATAGGGGAGATCGGTTACGATTTTCCCGCCAACAAGGTGTAGATCGGGGGGGGGGGGCTTTGGGGGATGACAGATGCCCCCCCCCAAATATAATTCAAACGTGTTATATCTAATTCGATACCGGTGATTTACACAAGTTGCTGAATGTACATAATTTTCCGAGAATTTCTCACTGTTTAGTAAATTTTACTTTTTTATGCGTCGAAAATGACAAATTCATAAAGAATGAAAAAAAGAATAGTGACCTGCCAGTGTCACAAATAAGGTATCAAAATATGCTCATCTGACTGTTATTTTTTGCCCAAAACCCCTGAGCTTCCGGGGCTCCGCCCCTGGACCCCACACCAATTCGTGTCCAGCCAGTGTAACAAATAAGGTATCAAAATATGCTCGTCTGCGTAGTTATTGCCCAAAACTCCCGAGCTTCCGGGGGCTCCGCCCCCTGGACCCCACACCAATTTGTGTACTGACAATGTCACAAATAAGGTATCAAAGTATACTCATCTGACCGTAATTTATTGCCCAAAACCCCCAAGCTTCTGGGGGTTCCGCCCCTGGACCCCAGCCAATTCGTGTCCTGACAGTGTCACAAATAAGGTATCGAAATATGCTCATATGACCGTAATTAAATTCCTATACCTCCTGAGCTTCTGGAGGCTCCACCCCTTGACCCCCGCAGGGGCTTCGTCCCCTAGACTCCACGCCAATTGACGCAACGCTCTACCTGATCGTAAATCCCCCAACCTACTTAAAGAAACGCTCAGCGGGGCCTGTATGTAAGAGGGGGTGGTGCGGGTTTTTTTTGTCTACTACCCCCCCCCCCCCCACCCCCGTCCCTAAACGTTTTTGTTCATTTCGCCACTGCCGGTGACACCATTACATACCAATATGTGGCTCGCATAATTTCAAATTTGGGCCCCCCCCCCCTAAGAAATCCTGGATCCGCGCCTGAGTGCCATTACTATTACAAGTACAGTATATCAACGACCACACAGTATAAGTGCCATGCAGATCTAGAGACCACCTTGCTCAATCATTTTCTCTGTTTATTTTTTCCCAGGAGTCCTAGACGATGAGACACTGGTGATGATGAACACACCTCGTTGTGGAATGGTGGACATGAACTCCCCTGCCGACATGATGAGGAAGAAACGATATGCCTTAGGCAGCAGGTGGTCCAAGACAGAACTCACGTATAAGATCATCAACCGGACCCCAGACCTGCCTGCTGACGAGGTTGACCGTATCATTACCGAGTCTATCGAGGTAAGATCTGCTCCAGAAGTGGTTCTAGAGGGGGGGGGGGGGGGGAGGGGGATTTGGGGGATCAAGTACCCCCTCCCCCCCCCCCCCTCCCCCCCCAAAAAAAAGAACAACAAAAAAGGAAGATCTTTAAGCCAACAAAGTCTTCTTGATAACAACAAAAAGTAAGCGGGGGACAGCAATATAGAATTATGAATGCAGAACAGGATTTGTCTATTTTTCAAATTAAGAGATTAAATTCTTTTAGGAGGGTTGGCTCGACCGACAGCTAACAGGACCGACATACAACAGTCCTTGAGAGCAATGTTTTGGTCTAGCAGCCTGTCTACAGGTTTACGTGACCGAAATTTTTGGTCTCGCGGTCGGTCTACTGGGATGCAAATCAGGTCAAAGGGCGTATATTTATACGTTAAACAAAATCATCTCAGTCTGAATAATATCCTTATCCTTCATGAATGACATGTTTGCAATAATCAATTGTTTTTTCATATTCATCAGTTCTTTTTTTTTTTCTTTCGCGTTAAAGGCGAGGGGGAGGAGGGTAGTGGTTAATGACCGCTTTTTGAGCAACCATCTCCATATTGGGCTATTTCGGGGAGGGATGTGGTCTATTTTAGTTTTATATCTTATCTTGTACATTTCGTTACAAATTAACATATTCATTACTAGATTATTATTGTCAGTCGGTTTTTAAATGAGATGCAAGTTGCTTCTTATTGTTGATATCATAGTTTTGTTAGTCTGTGATAGTGACGATATCGTAAACACCTCTTCGTATAGAAGGCTATATATACATAGTAGTACTTATTAGTTTGCGATTTCAATATTCTTGCATAACTCTATTTTAAGTTTTTTACAGAAACCTGTCCTTAAGTGCAATGTGCGTTCATAACACAAGTTTTTGCTTTCCCAGTTTACGCCTCCTTCTGCTTTTTAATTTATTAATTGTACTGTTCCATTTGTTCATGGTTTTAAAAGTTTACTCGTTGCAAATTTTAGAGACTGAATACATGTTGACGGCTGTTGATATTCAGACAAGAGGCATCACCTCACTACCAGTTCGACACAGTATAGTCATGATGATTTACTCCTTTTTTCTTCTTCCTTTATTTTACTCCGAAGAAATGGGCTGATGTATCTCGTCTTACATTCACGCTGGTAACGTCAGGAGACGCAGATATCTTGATCAGCTTTGCTGCAGGCAGCCACGGGGACGACGGTCCATTCGACGGACCAGGTGGTGTTCTTGCGCATGCGTATTACCCCTCCTCCAATGCAATTGGCGGCGATGCACACTTCGACGAAGATGAAGATTACACGGACGCTAGTTCTAGAGGTACGTGACCAATTTCTTTTTTAATCCATGTTTACAGGGAAGTCCACCCTGATGTTAAGTTCGTTTTAATAGAAGCAGAAAAATGAGAGAAACAGTCAGTAAAAGTTTGAGAAAAATACGAAGTTGTCGGATCAATCAAACACAAATTGGCAACTCTGTGACGTTTCTTGCGAACTCCTCTCCAATTTGTTCTGTACAGAAAATTAAGTAACATTTCTTTTCTTATATTTGTTCATACTAATAAAATATTCAAATAATACAATGTATATGAAATGACATAACTAATTTTGGTGAAGATAGTTACTCTAGGAAGAAGGCTTGAAATCCCATTAAGCAAAAGCTTGTGTCGGGTACGCCTAATGAAATTGTCAAGCATCGGTCTTGAATAATTGATCATATAATTGGGCCCTATGAAGTTTTGGAATCATCAGATGCATAGGTTCCCAACTTTATGAAACCACACAAACATTTTGTTATTCTCAAATGGGCCTTGACTATATATAAAGCCTGCCTAGAGGATAAGGCCGTATCTAATCATATATTTAGAATCTTTCTTACGTTACGGTCCTAATCTTAATATGTCGTCCTCCGCCTACCCATAACATGATAACATTGACAAGTGGAAAAGATAAAGCAAATGACAAAGGTCTAGAGAAAATGCTTTAATTCAAAGTTATAGTTGAGTTCTGGGGGGGGGGGGGTGGACTTATCTCTAAGTTGAACTTAACAATTATGGAAAGCCATTAGCATCCTTGAAAATATTTTGTAAGAGTTATTTTAAAAGGCATAAAATGTTGATTCAAATCATTCATATTTTCTATTATCATGGGAAATTTCATGTTCGTGATGTGGAATTTATGAAAAGTCTAAAATGCGTGAATTTTTGCTTTTGAGTATATTTCATTATAAGGCTACAAATGGCTCTCCATCATTTTTTAATTCCAACTTAGAATCTTTGTGAAACGCCCCTAGGTCATGCGATTGCATTGTGAAAGAAATTATAGCAGATAGCCTACATATTGGTATATATGCCTACTGAGTATGTCACAATCATCAAAATGATGAAAAATTTACCCAGTCTTACTAAAAGTCACAGAAACTACACACACATAATTGTGTATATGGGAGTACACAAACATGGGGCATGAAAGTGCGGTCCCATGAGATGTTACTTATCATGTTTTGAATATGAGGGCATTTGAAGAGCAATCTTTTTCAGGGGCCCGATACCCCTAGTTTTAACCAGTACCTCGAATAGAAGGCGTGGTATATTTGTTTTATATCCTACATCAAAAATGTATTTTATAAAAAATTAAAAAAAATTGGGAAAAAAAAATTGGGAAAAAAAATGTCAATTTTTAGAGATTTAAATGTTAAATTAAATTAAGATTTGAAAGGAAAAAACAAAGTCAATCAAAAAAAAAAAAAATCATTTTTTTTCCAACTCCCAAATAGTAATCCCAAATAGTACTCTGATATAGTACTTTCTAAAAATAGTTCAAATATTTCTGGTCATGTGACAAGCTCTCAACCAATCAAAAGCCAACAAATTTTTGATGCAGGATATAAATCATAATATTATGATTATGCGCTATTCTCATTATTCTCCTCCTTTTTCTTATTCCCCTTCCGATTCTTCTTCTGCTCGTCGATATTATTATTATTATATTATTATTATTATTATTATTATTATTATTATTATTATCATTATTATTATTATTATTATTATTATTATTAATTTTGCTATAATTATTATTCTTATTATTTTTTTTATTATTATTCTTCTTCTTATTATTATTATTATTATTTTCATGATTATAATAAATCGCATAATGTTTAAGTATTCTCTTGAAAACTTACAGGAATCAATATGGAATGGGTCGCCGTGCACGAGTTCGGGCACAGTCTTGGACTGGGCCATTCCCAGATTGAGGGCGCTGTGATGTATCCGTATTACACAGGCTACGTACCCAACTTCCAGCTAAATAGTGATGACATCGCCGGTATTCAAGCCCACTATGGTAAACATTGACTATTTTTATTCATATATTTTTCGGTGGTTGATCCATGGTTCTTTGGCCACTTGCATGGGAAAAAATATATTAAATCCGCCCCCACCCCCTGCGTGCTACTCATGAAGCGTCATTCCCTGGTGCAACCGTTTCGTCCATTTATATAGAATTTATATCACAGCATGAACTGCAAGGAAAACGTCATTAAGAAAAGTTCATTATCCCTCATAGATCTCTCCGTGATCGTCATAAAAAACGGCTTGTACGTGCTCATGATCGGTATGTCAAAAAACATTTTTTTTGTTTTTTTTTTGTTTTTGTTGTAGTGATGCGTTATTGGATAGAGGATGTGTAATCAGATATACCTTTCATTGCACTAATTATGGGGGAGGGTTCTACGTCCAATGTATTATTATGATCATGTATTTTCTATATTTGATAGGCGAGAATGTTGGAGAACCCGAAGACACGCCCCCTACGCCAGTGGACAAGTGTATGACTTCAATTACCATGGCAACAAGAACGCTGGATGGCTCCACCTATTTGGGCAATGGTAAGATTACGTTTCTTCGAAAACTGATTATTTTCCATGACTTCGTCTAATTTGCTTGAAATTCACAGAATATTGTCTCTTCTGAGCTGCTTAAACTGTTCGTTAATATAGAAATTCATTAGAGAACTTAATTTTTAGTGCGCTTTTATGACAACGTAAAACTGTTACAAATTCTTGAAGTCATTGTCGTGAGATTGATTGCTATTTCAAATAAAGTTATAGTCGGCCTATAAGGTAATGCAACATTAATTAATTCGCTTATGGACATTTCGTACGGGCTTCCTTCGTCAATGAAATATAGGGTTATGGTTAGGTATAGGCGTAGTGTTTGATTAAGGGTTGAAGTTAGGAATTCAGTTAATGTAGAAAATTTGCCACTGGAGCACGTGTTGTTCTATTTCTATCGCCCCCTCTCTCTCTCTCTCTCCATCTCTCTCTCTCTCTCTTTCTCGAAATAAAGGAATATTGCATGTTCTATATCATGTTCAAGCTCTGTTTTATATTGAAGCTCCTAACATTTCACCTTTTTTTACCGAATGTTAAAGGTACTGTCCCATTTGCAGGCCCCAAAAATGAAAAAGTTAAATTCCAACGGCATTTCAAAAAAATACTAATTTAGAACTTCCCTATAAAAAAAAAGGGGGGGGGGGCTTGAAAATGTCTTTAAGTGGGGATATAACGACTATTAGTTGTCGAATCGACTTAGGAGCTATAGAGCCAGTAAGTAATAGTCTGATTTTCAGACCACTGTACCGAATGGTCGTACGTTTTATGCTGTGCAAAGATTCATTCAGTTTAATTTTGGCCATTACAAGAAGTGGGTTACTGATGCTGACAAATGCTCATGTACCCTTTACAGCTCATTTTATTTATGTTATTACCAAAGAAGAAAAAAATCCATTCAGACACTCAATAGTGTCTGACAGTGAAGTCTAGCGAGTAAACAGGTTTCTTCTCATAATTTGAATATATTATACACTGCTAACGTTTAAATTTTTACATATAGAACATACATGACATATTCATAATTCATGCAAATTTCTACAGAATTTGATGTTGGCTGCAAAAGGGACATAGTATCTTTAAACGTGATACAAGTTATTTCAACGTGTATTGTTTGGTAACCGACTCTTCAGTTTGTGCAAATAAACATCAAACTTCATACCTCAAACTACATCAATGCTATGATTTATGTTACATTTGCAGCAACGCACTTGTACCGTCGTTTAACGGATGGTTCGATTCCCGACGGTTATCCGAAGGTGATTGGTGTTGAGTTTCCCGGTCTTCCAACTGCTCTGGATGCGGCTCTTTTTTACCCTCCTAACGGTAAAACGTATTTCTTCAAGGTGAGTGGAAATACAATCGAAAGGTACAGGAAGGTGGGATTTCCCCTAATCCCCATCGCATTCTCTTTATTGCGACCCTTTCTCTCTATCTCTCTCTCTCTCTCTCTCTCTCTTCCTCTCTTTCCCTCTACCAATATACCCACCCAACCGCCCTCTTAGGGCGCGTTCATGCTTGATTTTGACGGCCAGAATCAGGCATCTGTTACGCGTTTAGTTTAAAACACGGTTGCGTCTTAGCTCACTTTTGTAGAATCACCGAAAAACGGCGATCACGATCGCCGATCATAGGCGCCGGAAGTGGGGGGGCAGGGGGGGGGGGGGGCAGTTGCCCCCCCAATCAAAAAAGTGGGGGGCAAAACGCATTTTTGCCCCCCCAAAACGCCCCCCCCCCCCCTCCAAAAAAAAAAAAAGAAGGCAGTTAAGGAGTAAATATGGTTTGTATTTTTAACCCAAAAGAACATAACAATAATAAAAACCTGAATTAAATCACATATAAAATTCCATTCAAAGAAAAGGAAAGTTCACATGAATTCAATTTCATTAACATTGCGCATTCCACCTATACGGTATATATCAATGGAGGTCTTTATAATAGCGAAACGCGCATATTGTGGAAATATTGTGCGAGAATGGGAAAGCGTGTCTGTTTTTTTTGTTATAGGGGTGAGAAGACATGAGCCCCTGAACGCTGGCGTACTGATGGGGGAGGGGGGGGGTGTATTTTCTTATTCGATACCAGTGATTTACAAATATTACTGTTATGACATGATTTTCTGGTATTTTTTTTCTCCATTTTTTTGTAAGTCATACCTTTTTATGCGTTTGTTGGAAAATAAGAAATTCCCAAATTACAGTCGGGCGAAAAATACGCTTATTTAGAAACCTTCATGTAAAGGTTTGCAAAGTGGCTGGGCTCGAGCCCCCCCCCCCCCCCTCACTTTTTGAAAAAGTATGTTAAAGAGAAAAAGAAAGAAAGACGGAGAGAAAAAATTAGTGACCTGCCAATGTTACAAATAAGGTAGAAAAAATGATCATCTGACCGTAATTAAATGCCTAAAACGTCAGAGCTTACGGGGGCTCCGCCCCCGAGCCCTACCAAGGGCCCTAAGGCGGTCCCCTGGATGCAATCTAACCGTAATTAAATACCTAAAACCCCTGAGCTTCCGGGGGCTCTGCCCCCTGGATGCTCATCTGACCGTAATTAAATACCAAAAACCCCGAGCTTCCGGGGGTTATGCCCCCTGGAACCCACCGAGAGCCCTAAAACGGGCCCCTGGATGCTCATCTGACCGTAATTAAATACCTCAAACCCCTGAGCTTCCGGGGGCTCTGCCCCCTGGACCTCACCAAGGGCCCTAAGGCGGGCCCCTGGATGCTCATCTGACCGTAATTAAATACCCAAAACCCCTGAGCTTCCGGGGGCTCTGCCCCCTGGACCCCACCAAGGGCCCTAATGCGGGCCCCTGGATGCACATCTGACTGTAATTAAATACCTAAAACTCCTGAGCTTCCGGGGGCTCTGCCCCCTGGACCCCACCAAGGGCCCTAAGGCGGGCCCCTGGATGCTCATCTGACCGTAATTAAATACCCAAAACCCCTGAGCTTCCGGGGGCTCTGCCCCCTGGACCCCACCAAGGGTCCTGAGGCGGGCCCCTGGATGCTCATCTCGTAATTAAATACCTAAAACCCCTGAGCTTCCGGGGGCTCTGCCCCCTGGACCCAACCAAGGGCCCTAAGGTGGCCCCTAGATGCTCATCTGACCATAGTAAGATATTGAAACCTCTGAGCATCTAGGCCCCCCCCCCCCCTGGAACACGTCAATGGCCTTAAAGAGGGCCCTGGATGCTCATCTAACCGTAATTAAATACCTAAAACCCCAGAGCTTCTGGGGGCTCAGTCCCTTGACCCCCTGCCGGTGCTCAGACCCTGAGCCCCACGCCAATTTACGCTCTACCTGATCGTTATTACTCCACTTTGAAAAGCGTTCCGCGGGACTTGCATGTTATGTGCAAGACTGGTGGTGATGCAGATTTTTCGTCTGCCCCCCCCCCCTACCGAACGTTATTTCTCATTACGTCACTGCCCCTGGAAGGTGAGCCCCCTGGAATGTTTGCCCCCCCAATCCCAAACTGCTTCCGGCGCGCCTGTCGCCGATCGTAAACTCACAAAAAGATGCGTTTACAATTTGTAAACGCGTTTAAATGGGGTCAACGCACTGACCTCTAGTGGGTCTACGTAGCATGCACAGTGAAGGTTTGCGAATCCAGCTGGAAGACCAATTAAGGCCACACACGGAGAATTGCCTGGGGAGCCAGAGAAGTAAGCATGAACACTACATCGTGGAACTGCGATCACGATGAGCGTTTACGATGAGCGTTTACGATGAGCGTTTCAGATCGCTCATTCTGCCTTCAAATTTTAAGCATGAACGCAGCCTTAGTCTCTCTCCTCCTTTTCCTCTGTGTTTCAGACAGTCATTCTCATTCATCTCTCTCTCTCTCTCTCTCTCTCTGGTCTTATCCTTCTCACCAAGTCTTTCTACTTCACACGCACCTTATTCTGGTCACGCGGAAGCGACCTTATCACTCCAAAATATCGGTCACTTGTTCGTCAGTCTTTGCCCGTTATTCATCTGATTCATTCATAATGATTATTACATTCATAATGTTATTACTTCTTTTTTTCTTTTTTCTGCATCACAGGGAAGTCAATACTGGAGGTTCCGTAACCAGAGAATGGATAGGGGTTTTCCGAGACCCTTGTCCGACTGGCGCGGACTGCCGAATGACATTTCTTCGGCTTTCATTTGGAGCCGTAATGGCCAGATATATTTCACAAAAGGTACGATCAAGTTCGATCCAGGGGCGTAGCCGGGGAAGGATGGAAGGGGGAGGGGAGGGTGGAAGGGGGAGGGGAAGTGGGACGAGAAGGGGGAAGGGGTAGTTATCGTTTTGTCAGCAAATTCGACGCAAATTCGAGGCAATTTAAAGAAAAAAAGGCTGCGGACCGTTTGTTGTTGTTGCTGTGGCCTGTTTAATTTGTTAGCTACTTAGTGATTTGATCCGGCACCTCCCCCTTCCCACGCCCTTCCATTCAACATTATCTATTATGGTTCAATATGTTAATGCTGTGGGTGATCTGATTTAAATGCGAATAAAGAAAAATGGCTACATCGGGTTCCTTGTAGCTTTAATGTTTTAATTCCATTAACCTGAATAATCATGACGATTTTCGAGGTTATCACAGTTATCAAAGCATTATTCTCTAATTTAATAAAATATCATCAACAAATGGGTTTACGACATTTAGTAGTCTATTGTTCTTTGCTCTCTGTATCCCACAGGAGACGAGTATTACCGCTACTACCCTGGTTATGGAGTCCTCTCGTACTACCCTCAACCGCTCAGCCAGTGGGACGGGCTCCCAAGCGACGGAGTAGATGCGGCGTTCCAGTGGACCAACGCCCGCACTTACTTCTTCAAAGGCTCTGAGTATTACCGCTTTAACGACAGAGCCGTTACTGTTGATCAGGGCTATCCCATCAACACGGCTACCGCGTGGCTGGGATGCGATTCCGACCAGCTGGTCGTTGGCCCGACATCGTCGCCGACAACATCGCCCGCTGCCGGAGACGCGGTCGTACTGGCACCGTCTATGGTTGCCGTTCTCTTCTCGACGATTGCTGCCGTCTTCTATTCATTTCAATAGAACGACATTATCGCGTTTTTATATCACGACATTATAGATATTATTTCCATTTCATTCAAAATCATGTACCAATAATATTCGACCAATATCTCTTTAAATGTTATCATTGAAGATTCCATCACGATTTTATCAGTTATTCTCACTTGTTATAAATGTACATGTAAAAGTAAGAATCATATTTTATAGGAGTATGAATTGTTGTTGATGTAATTTGTATTGTTGAAGGATTTTTCAGATCGAATCTATTTGTAGACTTACTAGATAACGGATATTTGACGATAAAACTTGAGAGAAATAGCGCGATTTTTTTTCTTCAATAGACTATAAGTACCTTAAACATCGATATCGACGACCATTCAGTAATAATCAAACGTAGAATTGACGATCGAGGCAGTGAAATAACTTTTAACGGCCTAGCTATGATAAAGCTTACTTTATGTTTCCAGTTTCCAGACTTTACAGAGACAAAATCTAAGCATGTTTTAGTGCAGGTGTTGTGGTGTAATGGTTGATTCACCCGACTCTCAGTCCAAGGGTTGAGAGTTCGAATCCCGTCAAATATCAGTTATCTAGTAAGTCTACAAATAGATTCGATTTGATAAATCCTTCAACAAATAAAAATGACATCCATAAGAATTCATACTTCTAAAAATATTGTACCAAGGTAATTTTGGCAAAACATAAATCCATATTTGGCACACTCCACCATGCACGGTGTAAATGAGTACCTGCAAAACTTCGGTAGTGATAATTGAAGGGCTTGCAAGAAGAGCAGTGTAAAAAACTGATGTGGCTGCCATGGGTAAATATATAAGAGACGATTAATATTTTTAATATCTTTCTTGTTTTTTCATCACAATAAATGCATATAAATATTAGAATACAAGTGTGGATGATGAGGCGGATATAGCTCTAGGCTTGAAAATTATGTCATTTATTATAAAAAAAAATCTATATTTAATATCGGCTTTTGACTTGTAAAGTTATTTTAAAATCTTTATGCCATTATAACGTATTTTTATTCATAGGGCCTACCTTATCCAGCTTTATACTGTTAAAGGTACTATGTCCAATTCGCAGGCCAAACAAAAGGTTAAATTCCAACGGCATTTGAAAGATAATACTAATTTAGAACTCTAGAAATTTAGAAAGGCTTGAAAATGTCTGTAAGTGGGGGAAATAACGACCATTAGTTTTCGAATCTACTTAAGTGATTGCAATCCAGTAAGTATCGGTCTGATTTTTAGACCCTTGTACTGAATGGCCGTATGTTTTGTGCTGCGTAAAGATTCAATCAGTTTACTTTTGGCTATTACAAGAAGTGGGTTATTGATGTAGACAAATAGGCCTAATGCTCAAGTACCACATTACATCTCATTTCATGTATGTTATTACCAAAGAAAAAGAGATGCCAGTCAGTCACTCAATAGTGTCTGACAGTGAAGTCTAGGAAGTAAAGGGTCCCTTGCATAATTTGAATATTAGGACACTGCTAACGTTTAAATTTCACAGATAGGACATCATACATGACATATTCATAAGTCCTGCAAAGTTCTACATAATTTGATGTTGGCTGCAAATGAGACAATGGTGTCGATTATATTATCAGTATCTATGTTTCTAACTTTTTTTACGGAAGCTTTATGTCAGTAACCATGCACAATATAATATTTTATATAAATAATTCTACTTTTGTTTCGCATGAATCTCTATTAGATAATTGTCTGTTTGATTGTCTCACCCAGGTGAGGTAAATGGGTACCTGGTAGGATTATTCCTTGAAGTGCACTGTGCGCTGATAAGGCTGCCGGAGCAAAAGGTAGGGTAATAAATTTCAAAGCTCTTTGGAAGCGCATAGAGATTTTATTTCATAACGTATTATGCGCTATACAAGAACTGAAATATTATTATTACAAGAAGGAAAACAGCATATATTAGAAAGGAAAAGATTCACGTGTCAAAAATAAAAGGGGTAGTTACCAGAAGTGAAGAGTGACACTCGTCAGAGATTTTTTTTAAAAAGAGCACTTATTAGGAGGGAAGGGGCACTTGTCAAAATAAAACGAGTAGGTCTCAAATTTGAATAGGGGCAAGAATCGAAGGTGAAGGGGGCACATATCTGAAATGAAAAGGAGTATCTTCTCGTACCTCCAAAAAAGGGTCATTTACCAGAGGAATACCAGGGGAATTTAAAAGAGGGGAAGGGACTTTTGTTAATGGGGCCACTTATCATTATGAAAAGTGGCACTTATTATTAAGGAAAAGGGACACGTGTGAAAATATAAGGTGTTCTTATCCGAATACAGAAGGGAGCACTCATCAAAAGTGAAAAAGGGCACCTCCTAGCGATTAAAAAGGGCACTTATAAGAATGGAAAATGGACACTTATTACACAGGAAAAGGGGCACTTTTTTATTTTTTTTATTTATGGAAACTGCCCCCTACCCTAGCCCCCGCTCTGTACAGTCATGGTTCAGTGACAAAGCAATGGCCTCGTAACTGTGAGGCCCCAGGATCAAAACCGTGTCGATGTGCTATATTAGTGCCCTTTTGTGGGACATTAATCCTCATTACTGTTATTTATGCCTTAAGGGCGTAGGTCCCCTAGTTGATAAGCATAGTAGCATACACATGCTTTAGCAGTCACGCAAAACACACATTGACAAATTATTATTCAATACAATCTGAGAATGTATACTATTATTTAGATCTATTATTTTAAAATTATTTTTAAAATAATTCCATAAATTCGGGTAAAACAAAAATATTCCCACTATATGAGCAACAGTGTATTACGCATTGCCTTTCCGAATCAGCAACCTCGCTGCTCAATGCTTACAGAGTACCGAAATGTGAAAGTCATATTCGCTCGTCAACCAACTGGTTCTAAACAACAGAGTCTGTGGATGAGGTTCATCGTGAAGTCATTCAAGCAACGGGCTGGAGCAGGGAAAATCCAATGTTTCGTGCTGGTGTGATCACCACGCCATTGTTTAGCACAAAATTGTTTGGAACCAGCACCCTTGACAACTTGGCCAATATGACGTCACACTTCGATACTCTATTATATGGAGTTATTCAGGCATCTCGCTTCCCGAATAGGTTATGCGGATACATCTGGGATTGCAGGGGGGTGGTGCCACCATGGGCTCCTATGGCTCTGTGCTCCGCGGTTTACGATCCATGGCAGTTTCCCTACCAAATGTAGTCCCCTTATATCATTTTATTTTACACCACCCAATCCTTATTCCACCCGATAACACAAAATATACCAAAGCAAGTAACCATTCGATTTTATGACAGTCAAGCAAGGTAGCGCTAGCCCTACCGTCATAAAACTTAAGATGGTAACACGGAATAAAAGACTAATACCAAGAAATGTTTAAACCTGCTCGCTTTTAATATGATCGAGCACTCGTCTTACAAGTCCTGGCTCAAATCAGTCGTACAGAGGTCACTGCTCTAGAAAGACTACTTGACGCCTATTAGTGACAGTATGTCCCTCGAGCAATATGTTAGAACCTGTCTAGAAAAGCCGCATGTCCACAGCGGCCACATTTTCTGTTTCCTTGAAGAAACTTAAAAGCCATATAAAATATCCTATAAAACTGATGGATATTATTTGTATGACAATAATAGTTCTCTATTTCATCAACCAGAAAGTCCAGTGCCCCGACCCTATATTATGGCATCAGGGCGCCTTTGAATAACGTCAACAGGGGTCTTATAAGCATTAAGGATGTGGATCCTTTATGAATTAATTACTCTAAACAAGAATACCCCACTCCTATACGGACTACACTCATGGTGTACCCGTTTAATTGTGTGTGTTTTTCCTGACTTATCTACCTCACCATGCAAACCTGTAAATAACTTTTGAAGATTTCACACCAATTACAACTGCCACTTCATCTCTCTCTTTCAATAAAGTTTTTGTGAACAAATTGTTTAATCCCTTTTTAATCTACTTAATTTGACCATTCAACACTAATCTTGGTCATGTTGGTATCACAAAGCGCTCAGAGCAACAAAAGAATATTGATTTTGAGGGAATGACTTGCTTTAAAAGGAGGAGACAGTATGTAAGGAACAGCCAGATCACTATACACGTCCTACGACTGACGGATAAAAATCCGTGTTTGGAACATTGTTAGTTTGACCCAAGTTTATCAAGCTAATACTCTCTTTGCACTTTGAAATCTGGAAGCAGAAGTGTAGCAAAATCATTAAGTGTTTCGTAAAAACAGAATGTTTATGATGAAATCTTTCATTAATTATTGTTATCATCATATAATCATTATAATTTATATTTTCATAATTATCATTTTATTTAGTAATCCCATGGTTAATATTATTATTACAATAACTATAAGAATCATTATTGTTATCACATCAGCAGCAACAGAAGCATTAGCAGTAGTAGTAGTAGTAGTAGTAGTAGTAGTAGTAGTAGTAGTAGTAGCAGTAGTATTAATTAATAGTACTAGTAATAGTACTACTGTACTAGCAGTGTTATCGTCACCATTACCATCTTTATTGATAGCATTATCAATAATATCATTATCCTGCATCTTAAACGGAATTTAGTCTGTATTTCTCGAAAGACTTTCGTTTAACCATCACCAGATAATGCAACTTTTCAAAAGTATACCGTGAACATCAAAGCGTGTTTTTCTGATCATTCTGGTTGTTCCCTGAAGCTAAGATCTGTATCCTGAAGATCGTCTGGATCGTAGCTCCTAAGATTACATTTTGTGAAGATTTTGTTGGTGAGGGTATACATTACCTTCCTGACCGTTCCTATGCATCCGATATTTAAACTTAGTTAATTTGTACAAAATTATTTGTTGGAAAAATCTTGTTAGTGAAAACATAATTTTCATTCTTGGCCATTTCTATATGAATCCAATGTTTAAACTTAGTAGAAATGTGTATGAATTCATTCGCATAAACTTTTTAACTCGGGAAACCTTTCGTTTTTAAATGCGGATTTCCATAATACTCTAAACAACGATGGCGGTTCTAAGCCTTGGATTTATTCGCTTGAAAAGGTCTTAAAACGGCATGCTGTCAAATAATATTTAGGAAGGAGAATTAACCAAAAAAAATACATTTTTTAGGAAGAAAAATTTAAGATTCCACTTAGGCCTACATTATATTTGTTGCTGGTGTGTTTCGTTGTTTTTCTTACGTTTTTTACATTAAATGCTAGTTTGTAAATGCAATTTATATGCGAAGTGGGTCCTTTCCTCTTCATCTTGTACATTCCCCCACATTAATCTTCTCTTCAACCTAGCTATGCAAATTGTTATTGAAATAAAAAACGAACTATTTCTTCCATTCTTCGGTCTCTTACGTGCAATGATTATACATTGAAATAATAAAAGTCGAATTAACCGAGATCTATAATCATGATTACGATCCTTAATTCATGTCACTTATGCTTTTCACCTTTTCATATGCTATATTCACCTATACATCATTATTTTCTTTATTTTTTCCAATATTGAATCTTGAATCTTACCGGACCTGTGATTTCCTTAAAGATAAAGACCAGTTTTGGAAACGCCCCAATTTCAAAAAATGAAATGGAAGCTTTTATTACCAATCATGTGAAAGAGTATGTTTTGACTAATACTCTGATGATTGCCCTATTCAAAACTGAGAGGTGCTCTTTTTACTTTGACAACTTCCCCTTTTTTCCTTTGTAAGAAGTGCCCCTTCTCCTTTTAATAACTACCCCTTTTTTAAACTCGGATGAGCGCACCTTTCATTTTAACATGTGCCCCTCTTATTTTCTAATAAGTGCCCCTTTTCCTTATGATAAGTGCCCCCATTAAAAAGAGAAAGCTCCTTCCCCTTCTCATAACTCCCCTTTCCCTTCTCATAACTGCCCCTTTTAAACATCTGAACGGTGCCCCCTTTTCATTCAACAAATGCACATTTTCCTTTATTATAAGTGCACCTTTTACATTTTCATAAGTGCCCCTTTTCATATCTGGTCAGTGCCCCTTTGCAACTCTGATAATTCCCCTTTTAATAATGATACGTGCCCCTTTTCCTTTCTAATAAGGGACCTATCCCCTTTTCACCTCTTATAAATGACCCTATTAAAATCTGATGGGTGCCCCTTTTCCGTCAACAAATGCCTATTTCCCATTTTCGTAAACGCCTCCTTTTCATCACTGGTGAGTGCCTCTTTTCAAGTGAAAAAATGCCTCATTTTCACCTCTTATAATTATCCTTTGTATTTATACACGTGCTCCTTTTCTTTTCTAATAAGTGTCTTATCCCTTTCGATAATTGTCCCCTTTTCATGTAATCATTAAACGTGCCCCTTATTTAAAGCGACTAACAACAGTTTCCCCCAAAGTTCGCTCGCTGCGCTCGCTCGCATTTAAAGATTATATAATTATGTTACTTATCAAAGGTCTTTTCAGTCTTCCGTTATGAGAATGTGCTTATAACCCCATCACGATTGGCTTTTTTCCTCTTTATAAGATGTAATTTTTCGCACTGCGACCTCACAGATCTTTAAAAATTTTCTCGCTCGCTTCGCTCGCTCGTAAATGCATATTCAGACATCACACCCAACTGTAAAGTTTGATGCTTAAGCGATATCTTGTATGATGTATGAAGAGAAACAAATATTGAAATCATCCCTGATAATGTAATCACAATGTA